GCCATAGATGTAAAGTGCCTTATATAGTGACTTGTGAGCCTCTTGTTGAATCACTTGTGCTATAAAAAGATTATTGATATGTATATGTATTTGTGTAAATGATTATATATATATGTACATGTGATGTAACATTAACAAATGTGTAACTAGCTTCAAAAGATTGCCACTTGCTTAGCTAAATGAGCTATGGGGGGGGGGGGGGGTACAGTTCCTAAATCCATTATGTGAGTCTGTAACCCTTTCCACCACCGCCCACGTGATGGGTATGGGGTGCATACTGATGAAAGAACCTATCTATACTTTTAAAAATATTTGAAAAAAAAAATATTTACAAACAGCTCTATTTCTACTTTGTAAAACTTACATATTAAGTCTGTCAGTTTGGCTTCCGTTTCCAAAAGAGTACCATTGATGCCATTATTAGTCTGCTTAATATAATCTACTCAGCCCTTGACAAAAATGGGTTCACAATTGGCCTCATCATTGATCTGAGAAAGGCCTTTGATACTGTAAACCATAACTACCTCTTACTTAAACTTCACCACTATGGTATTCGAGGCCTTGCTCTGAACTATATTCGTTCCTATCTCAGTGACAGACACCAATATGTAGCCATCAATAACAATCTCCCCCACTCTACCATTAACAGTATGAGTGCCACAGGGCAGCATCTTACCACCTCTCCTATTTCTTATATACATCAATGATCTGCCAAATGCTTCTAACATTCTTTAACCTATGTTATTTGCTGATGTTATTACCTTCATCTATTCGGACCCCAACCCCCACACACTAAATAATATTGTAAATAATTCATTAAAAAATAGTCCACTCATGGATGTCATCCAATAAATCTGTGCTGTGTGTGGTAGTGGACACTCACACTAAACATAGAAAAGACCTACACAATTTTATTTAGTAGTAAATCATCAAATCAAATTCAACTTCAGATAGATAATGTTAACAACAGCAATACAAATGATGGAAAGTTCCTTGGCCTGTACGTAGACAAGAGACTGAACTTCAGCATCCACATACCAAAAAAGCCAAAAAATCCATAGCCAAAAAAGTCTCAAAAACGGTCGGTATACACTCTAAAATCAGATATTATGTTCCCCACTCCGCTCTCCTGCCATTATGCTATGCGCCAATTTATCCCTATCTTACATACGGTATCTGTGCATGGGGTTCAACCACTGGAAATTACCTCGAGCCTATCATCACTCAGCAAAAATCTGCTATGAGAACTATAACAAACTCTGTCTTCAGACAACACACAACCCCTCTGCTTTAAGTCCCTTAACATGCTAAACATTCACTCAATCCACACATTCTCATGTGCGGTTTTTATGTAAAAAACCTTGTTCCTAAATGCTAATCTTGATCTGAAACTTTTCCTTGATAGGTGTAATAGAACCCATGAGCATCACACCAGAAATAAATATCTCTTTGATATCCCCAGAGTCAAACTAAATTTATGAAAACACTCCATGCAAATATAAGGACCCAGCCTATGGAATTCATTCCTTGGTGAATTAAAAATTGTCCAACCTTATTCAAAAGTAAAACCAAAAAGTACCTATGACAGTTTCATCCTCATAGTTTCCTACCTTGTGCTTCTAACTCACACAGTATCTTGTACTACCCACTTCCCCAATATTAGTATTTAAGACATATACCTTCACCAGTGTAATCACCTCTGACAGTTTATAGTATAGTTATTTGGTGATATTAAACCTTGCTACAATGTACCTTTCCATTTTACTTGATATGTTAGATTAAGGACCTGATTGAAACGCTATGCGTGTTAGTACTTACCTAGCTGTATTTACCTGGTTGTGCTTGCGGGCGTTGAGTTCTGGCTCTTTGGTCCCGCCTCTCAACTGTCAATCAACTGGTGTACATGTTCCTGAGCCTACTGGGCTCTATCATATCTACATTTGAAAGTGTGTATGGAGTCAGCCTCCACCACATCACTTCCTAATGCATTCCATTTGTCAACCACTCTGACACTGAAAAAATTCTTTCTAATATCTCTGTGGCAAGATGACAAAGGCATCTTAGTGGCTTTGTAAGAATGTAAAAATACCAGTCTTATGTAATCTCACAACCCAGTGTACCTTCTTGTGAATAAATTATTATTATTATTTTAGGATAAAAATCCACACTTGTCTATTTATGAAATTTATGTAAGGAATTTACACCAAGTCTTTCGCACTCTCCTGAGTGTTTTATCAAGGTGTGTGTGTGTGTGTGTGTGTGTGACTAGGACGAGACTTACGTCTCAATGTCTAATGAGGCTGCTATCCTTGTTATTGTTGTTTAAGATTCAGTTACTTGGAACAAAAAGTTGCAAGTAGCACGGGCTATGGCGAGCCCGTACTGAACTTACCTGACACAGGAGCGGGACTGTAACTTTGGCTGTTATCTGAGTGATTGATGAAGATTAAGCCATCCAAGGGGTGGCACGGGCATAAATAGCCCGTAATGGCTGCTGTCCTGGGTACAGTCCTCTTATTCTGCTTCACTGCCTGACCATGTCACCTCTAATCCCAACTAGCGATGTACCTCTGGTAATGTCTTCAACGGAAATATAGTCATGTTTCTGTTGGCATTCTAAGATCAGATATTGTACCTTCCACTTCCTTGGTAACGCTCTATTACTCTCTCATCTATCCTTATCTCAACTATGGTATTTGTGCTTGGGGTTCTATTACACAAAATCATTTACGTCCTCTAATTACTCAACACAAATCTGCTATTAGAACAGTAAACTCTGGCCCCTGACAGCAATCGGTACCCCTACTTAAATCTTTGAATATAGATATTAAGTCACTGCACATCCTCTCAAGTGTACTGTATTTATTTAAAACATCTGAACTGTAATGCCAATCCTGACCTTAAACGCTTCCTAGAAGGTTGTATCAACCCATGGGCACATGGGTTCCCTCACACCAGAAACAAATACCTATTTGATATTCCAAAAGTGCGCCTTGACCAAACTAGAAATGCTCTGCAAATGAAGGGACTCAGAATGTGGAATGACCTTCCCAATCATGTCAAAGGCTGTACCTCTCTCAACCAGTTTATGAGTAGAACTACACAATAAACTCTCTGTAACCTACCTTACCCCCAAAATGTCAACCAATTTCTTGCTATTTTTAATGTGTATGAATACATTCTGGCTGCCTGTCCTCCGACACAATGAATTATTATTATAGGACTCGCTCCCGAATGAATTACAAATTTGTCCAACCAATACATTATCAAAAAATAGAGCAATGAGGTACATCATCATTGTATCATCAGTTTCATCATCATTGTATCCCACCTTGTGCTACTCACAAGCTAGAGATGCAACGTCATCAGTATAATTGATCTTATCAACACTTTACGCTGATTTAGTAATTATGTGAATTCAAATTCTGTTACTTTGTTCCTATCATTGTTTTTTTATTCGATATTGACTACTCCCCCTTCTTTAGCGTTAGGCTCTGTCCGAAGCGCTGTGAATGTTAGTGACTGAATGTTCCTCTTAATCACCCACATGCATACTTCCACAACCCATTGTACCTTCTTGTATATAAATTAATAAAATAACAAGAGATAGCGGTACTTTAATTATCTAGCAACTAGTTGATTTCGTGTCTGTTACATGCAGCTTTCTCTGCCTTGTCTGCGTCATTATTTACCTGAATTTACCTGAGGGGCCACTAACACTTAGATAACATCATATGTGTTGGCCTACAAAACCTCCTCGTGGAGGCCATCTCACCAAACTCCAACGACAGCAGCACGGCTCAGCCAGTCTCAGGCAAAGAAAAAACGTAAGACCTCCAGGTCTACACTAACCCACCAGCTCCTTAACCTGGTACAGCCAGCCCTCCGAGGTTGATAACCACCATGAAGACCCCCGTCCATTCCCACATCTCTAGTATCAGCTATTGATACTGATAATAGCTCCATACAGCCTCCACTTACGGGCTCACCATAGCCCGTGCTACTTGGAATTTTTTGTTCTGAGCAGCTGAATCTAAAACAATAACAACTATTGACCTCGACGAGAACAGGATGCCGGTGGCTTGTCGAAGGTCTCCCCCTTCCCTACTATCATGTTGGGTAATATCTGTGTAAGGCAGTAGCCGATTGATTGATTGATAAAGATTAAGCCACCCTGAAGGCGGCACGGGCATGAATAGCCCGTAAGTCAGTAATCTCACAGTACAGATTTTAAAACTCTTGCTCTGTACATGCAACGTTTGCCTGTAGTAGATAGTGCAGGGACACGATTATCCCCTTTTCATCGACATCCACTAATGATGGGTGCCGGGTATTATCTGAATTTATCTTAGGACCATCATCTCATTAGGGTCCTCGATGAGAACAGAAAGCCGGTGGTTTGTCAAATGTCCCCTCCCCCAACCCCATTTGTCGTGAGGATATTATACAGCTGGCTTTTGAATTGCAACAATGTTGTGGCATTTACGGCTTCTGTTGGTAGGCGTTTCAATGGTTTTTATTACCCCTATGACTGAAAAAGCATGTCCTGTTTTCTGTCGTTCGTTGTGGCTTGTTAAGCTTGACACTGTTGCTCCTTGTTTGTGTTACATCTGATCATTTAAAGAGGTGTCCTGATCAATATCCTCCTAATTCTTCAGTGTTTTAAAAGTTTCGATGACACCAGTCCTGTCATGTCTGGTTAGCGGTGCTGTTAGCCCCGAGGCCTTCAACCCTTCCTGGTATGAGAGTCGACTTAGTTCTGGGATGGTTTTTGCCCCTAGTTTACCACAAATGTAAAATGCGTAGCCTGAAGATCATTAAGGACTAGTGCCTAACCCCATTATGTATCTAACCTCTCTCCCACGATATTTGTTTGGGTTCATATATTAAACCGAAAATACCCTGTGGATCGATAATATTATTTACATATGATGTTATGATATTGCAAACCATATCACGATCTATTTCTCAAGTTAACCTTATTTTTGTAATAATTTCAGGAAGGTTGAGGTGGTTGAGCAGTACTGTGACAGGTGTGGAGTGAGAGGATGAGGTGGAAAATGTGGTGGATGAGCTTCGCCATGGTTGGGCTGCTGGCAGCTTCACCAGCGTCACCTACAGAAGCCTTAACTGCACAAGCTCTTGGTAAGTTATACATGCTGCGACAAGGAGACACTTGTGCTACTAAGGATAGTGAAGCCAACCATAAAGGATAAGACTCTTGAACTGATCTTCACAAATAATGTGGAAATAATCATAGACATCACAGTCTCATAGAGATAAACACAAATATATGATTCCTGTACACAGAAGAGCAGAGGTGCCATAGGCACAACCAGAGGTCCACGGTTGTTCAACATCCTCCCAGCTAGCATAAGAAATATTGCCGTGAACAACCGTTTTCTTCAAGAGAAAACTAAGACATCTTCAGGAAAGCATGTTTTCATGCTTTCCTGAAGAAGTGCCGGACCAACCGAGCTATGGTGGATATGTGGGCCTGCGGGATGCTCCAAGCAACAGCCTGTTGGACCAAGCTCTCACAAGTCAAGCCTGACCTCGGGCCGGGATGGGGAGTAGAACTCTCAGAACCCCATCAAGCAAGTAGAGTTTAGAACACACGTACACCGGGATTTAATTAATTTAATTTCAACAATCAGGGCCTGACTGAAAAAAAAACATTGACGACGGCAGAAACATTGAGAATCTGCATAAAATATGTCCATCTTGAGAGAACTAAGACAAATGTCTAGCCTGGAAAGTGAAGGAAGTTGAGACGGTTCTGACTCGCAATCGGGAATCTCGAATTCAAATCTCGATTGGGACAGAAAGGGTTGGGGACGTTGCCTATCACCTAATGCCTCTGTTCACCAAGCAGTAAATAGCTACCCGGGAGTTAATCAGCTTGTTATGGGGTTCCGTCCTGGGGAGGGTCAGTTGTTCCACCTTGGAGGGGGGGGGACCTCGATTTAAGCCTGACATATATGTATACATAGACTGCTGACCTCGTTAAAATGAATTATTAATTATAAAAAAGTTACCAACAAAGCAGAACTAGACTGAAACATTACAGATATAACAAACGTTAATACTCATACCAGAATGAAGAAATACAAAAAGAACAAAAATAACCTCTCCCGAGAACCCAACATTGTAATGACATAATTGTTTGCATTAACAAAGAGCAAATGGAATACCTCGGCAACTCATATGTCTGTTATAATGTCTTCTATTAGTGTCTGAATTACCCCATTAAGCTTATATTACTTGTGAATCCTCCACCGTTAAGGTACCATATGTATGTGTTCTTGCCTAAATTATTATTATTATTATTATTATTATTATTATTATTATTATTATTATTATAGCGCGGCTCCAGCCAAAATTTCATCAATAATTTTGTGTTTATTTAATACTAAAAGAGAGCCTTTTACTTGTGCTATGCAGTATTTTCAACTTTATTTTAAGGAAATTGGACAACTCTTTAAGTTTTGTCTCATAATTTTTAAGCTAGAATTCACTGTTTATTACTGTTTAGTTAATTTATTATGCACCCCATACCCATCTTGTGGGCGGTAGTGGGAAGGTTTATAAAAAAGTGCAAAATACCGTTGGCACGGCCGCTCACAATATGATGGGCACACGGCCGCTCACAATATGATGGGCACACGGCCGCCCACAATATGATGGGCACACGGCCGCCCACAATATGGTGGGCACACGGCCGCTCACAATATGGTGGGGACACGGCCGCTCACAATATGATGGGCATGGGCACACGGCCGCTCACAATATGGTGGGCACACGGCCGCTCACAATATGGTGGGCACACGGCCGCTCACAATATGGTGGGCACACGGCCGCTCACAATATGATGGGCACACGGCCGCTCACAATATGGTGGGCACACGGCCGCTCACAATATGATGGGCACACGGCCGCTCACAATATGATGGGCACACGGCCGCTCACAATATGGTGGGGACACGGCCGCTCACAATATGGTGGGCACACGGCCGCTCACAATATGGTGGGCACACGGCCGCTCACAATATGATGGGCACACGGCCGCTCACAATATGATGGGCACACGGCCGCTCACAATATGGTGGGCACACGGCCGCTCACAATATGGTGGGCACACGGCCGCTCACAATATGGCTCACAATATGATGGGCACACGGCCGCTCACAATATGGGCACACGGCCGCTCACAATATGATGGGCACACGGCCGCTCACAATATGATGGGCACACGGCCGCTCACAATATGGTGGGCACACGGCCGCTCACAATATGATGGGCACACGGCCGCTCACAATATGATGGGCACACGGCCGCTCACAATATGATGGGCACACGGCCGCTCACAATATGGTGGGGACACGGCCGCTCACAATATGATGGGCACACGGCCGCTCACAATATGATGGGCACACGGCCGCTCACAATATGATGGGCACACGGCCGCTCACAATATGGTGGGCACACGGCCGCTCACAATATGATGGGCACACGGCCGCTCACAATATGATGGGCACACGGCCGCTCACAATATGATGGGCACACGGCCGCTCACAATATGGTGGGCACACGGCCGCTCACAATATGGTGGGCACACGGCCGCTCACAATATGATGGGCACACGGCCGCTCACAATATGATGGGCACACGGCCGCTCACAATATGATGGGCACACGGCCGCTCACAATATGGTGGGCACACGGCCGCTCACAATATGATGGGCACACGGCCGCTCACAATATGATGGGCACACGGCCGCTCACAATATGATGGGCACACGGCCGCTCACAATATGGTGGGGACACGGCCGCTCACAATATGATGGGCACACGGCCGCTCACAATATGATGGGCACACGGCCGCTCACAATATGATGGGCACACGGCCGCTCACAATATGATGGGCACACGGCCGCTCACAATATGATGGGCACACGGCCGCTCACAATATGATGGGCACACGGCCGCTCACAATATGATGGGCACACGGCCGCTCACAATATGGTGGGCACACGGCCGCTCACAATATGATGGGCACACGGCCGCTCACAATATGATGGGCACACGGCCGCTCACAATATGATGGGCACACGGCCGCTCACAATATGATGGGCACACGGCCGCTCACAATATGATGGGCACACGGCCGCTCACAATATGCTCACAATATGGGCACACGGCCGCTCACAATATGATGGGCACACGGCCGCTCACAATATGATGGGCACACGGCCGCTCACAATATGATGGGCACACGGCCGCTCACAATATGATGGGCACACGGCCGCTCACAATATGATGGGCACACGGCCGCTCACAATATGATGGGCACACGGCCGCTCACAATATGATGGGCACACGGCCGCTCACAATATGATGGGCACACGGCCGCTCACAATATGATGGGCACACGGCCGCTCACAATATGATGGGCACACGGCCGCTCACAATATGATGGGCACACGGCCGCTCACAATATGATGGGCACACGGCCGCTCACAATATGATGGGCACACGGCCGCTCACAATATGATGGGCACACGGCCGCTCACAATATGATGGGCACACGGCCGCTCACAATATGATGGGCACACGGCCGCTCACAATATGATGGGCACACGGCCGCTCACAATATGATGGGCACACGGCCGCTCACAATATGATGGGCACACGGCCGCTCACAATATGATGGGCACACGGCCGCTCACAATATGATGGGCACACGGCCGCTCACAATATGATGGGCACACGGCCGCTCACAATATGATGGGCACACGGCCGCTCACAATATGATGGGCACACGGCCGCTCACAATATGATGGGCACACGGCCGCTCACAATATGATGGGCACACGGCCGCTCACAATATGATGGGCACACGGCCGCTCACAATATGATGGGCACACGGCCGCTCACAATATGATGGGCACACGGCCGCTCACAATATGATGGGCACACGGCCGCTCACAATATGATGGGCACACGGCCGCTCACAATATGATGGGCACACGGCCGCTCACAATATGATGGGCACACGGCCGCTCACAATATGATGGGCACACGGCCGCCCACAATATGATGGGCACACGGCCGCTCACAATATGATGGGCACACGGCCGCTCACAATATGATGGGCACACGGCCGCTCACAATATGATGGGCACACGGCCGCCCACAATATGATGGGCACACGGCCGCTCACAATATGATGGGCACACGGCCGCTCACAATATGATGGGCACACGGCCGCTCACAATATGATGGGCACACGGCCGCCCACAATATGATGGGCACACGGCCGCCCACAATATGATGGGCACACGGCCGCCCACAATATGATGGGCACACGGCCGCCCACAATATGATGGGCACACGGCCGCCCACAATATGATGGGCACACGGCCGCCCACAATATGATGGGCACACGGCCGCTCACAATATGATGGGCACACGGCCGCTCACAATATGATGGGCACACGGCCGCTCACAATATGATGGGCACACGGCCGCTCACAATATGATGGGCACACGGCCGCTCACAATATGATGGGCACACGGCCGCTCACAATATGATGGGCACACGGCCGCTCACAATATGATGGGCACACGGCCGCTCACAATATGATGGGCACACGGCCGCTCACAATATGATGGGCACACGGCCGCTCACAATATGATGGGCACACGGCCGCTCACAATATGATGGGCACACGGCCGCTCACAATATGATGGGCACACGGCCGCTCACAATATGATGGGCACACGGCCGCTCACAATATGATGGGCACACGGCCGCTCACAATATGATGGGCACACGGCCGCTCACAATATGATGGGCACACGGCCGCTCACAATATGATGGGCACACGGCCGCTCACAATATGATGGGCACACGGCCGCTCACAATATGATGGGCACACGGCCGCTCACAATATGATGGGCACACGGCCGCTCACAATATGATGGGCACACGGCCGCTCACAATATGATGGGCACACGGCCGCTCACAATATGATGGGCACACGGCCGCTCACAATATGATGGGCACACGGCCGCTCACAATATGATGGGCACACGGCCGCTCACAATATGATGGGCACACGGCCGCTCACAATATGATGGGCA